AACAGACTAAGTTTTAATAACTAAAAGTAACCAGAAATCTACGAGATCTGTGTAAGAAGCCCTTAAAGGATCAACCATTCAGCAGTAAAAGAAGATTTGGTAGAGCACAGTCAAAGCAGTGATTAGAAAAAATAAAACTGCAGGTATCTGTACATCAGTCAGTCTCCCCAACAAACTTTTTACATAAGGCAGATCCAGAAAGTTAACTGATAATAGAGATCTCTGTAGGATTAGGGCATTTAATCATACAATGCAAAACCTGGAAGGGGCTTTAGTAAATGATCAGATGAAACCTGCTCATTTGACAAACTGGAAACTGAGGTGCCCAAGTTTTTAACATCCCAAAGACAGAAGTGGCACTGGGACAAGAACTCAAATCTCTCAATTCCCAATTAAATTATCTTTCCCCTATGCTACATTACCTCCAAAAGAGTGACACAGTGAAAACAGCTTTAGGGAGATTATCTTAATAGGTCAGATTGGGAAAGTAGAGACTGGAGGTAGGACCAGTTGAGAGGGAATAACAGTAATTAAGGCACGTAAGTTAGGGCAGCTGGACGATTCTTACACGATTGAGAATGGGTAACGACAGCCATCAGATAAAGCTTTCCAACATCTACTGACCCATTTAGTGGTACTCTGAGCTATTAACTGGCAACCAGAAAGAGAATCTTCCCACTCACAAAGCTGTAAGAAAAAAATGTACCTTATTACATTGTCTGATGTTAACAGCACTATGTGGGGGTCCAGCATCTCACTCGGATACCAGGCAGCATGCTTTAGAGTCAGAGAGGTAGAACTGGTGAAAAATCTCTCAGCAACGGGAGTGGTGCTAAAATAAAGACAGCAATTTCCCAAAACCTGGATGAAAAAGCTTCTAAAGGAAAACCTATCTTAACACTCTTTGCTCTTCTTTCCTTCAAATTCCTTTCTTATAAATCTTGCTGAGACAGCATTTAAAGCATCTACCAACCAACATCAAAGAATCAAAATTAAAATATTTTCTAAACTGTAGAGTATATTATACTGTACTTTACAAGTGATTTTACATACAGTATCTTACTTGATCCTTTTAGTAACTTTGTAAGGAAACTACAAGGGCAGCTATTATCACTCCTATTGTGGAAATGAGGAAACAGATTTAAAAAGGAAACATTTTTAAGGAGGCCCAACCTATGAGTTGTGGAGCTAAAGATGCGTTTCTACCTTATATTCTTTTCAGATCTTTCAGACTCTCATTTTTCAGGATTAATTGGAAAAGAAAAAAATACAACAATAAAACTTAGTTACACTTATGAGAAAACTGTCTGGCTCACAGTTAATAACTGCTTTTAAAACATCTTATTTCAACCTACTTGAAAAAACAGCCTGACTTCCAATGAGACAGCAATGTGATAATTTAGGCAGAATAAAAGTACAACCCCACATATACTGTAAACACTATTATCACAAGAAGCCAGTGTGCAGACCATCTGGAGTATGATGTTTCAATAGTAGCAGAGTAAACATACCTTAAGAACCACTGGTCTTAAGCAATTTTTTGCATGTATTACAAAATTATACAGATAAACACTAAATGGAAATACAACTTACCTACAATTCACTGTTGATTTTCCACCTTCAAATTCAGAATTCTTCCCCCACCTCTTAGGTAATTCTAATATCATGAGTCCTTTTATTCCTATAAGTGCTACATGATGTTGTGCTGGACTTAACAAGACTTGATAGATTTCAAACAGGGGTGGATTTATGCAAAGCAATCTCTGAAAATTAAAGCAAACTAGTCAAAATAGTTAATTTTAATGCAAATATATACGGCAGTTACTTGAAAGCACAGCACCACTTTAGTTTTCTATAACTGTAGTTTAATGAAACATTCTGGGTAAGTACTAGCACCTCAGCCATTACCTGATGAAATATTTTTTAACTACTTAGATTGGAATATTATATAAAATGCACCAGGTTTTCCTACTTTGACAAATACTACATATAATTCCCTTTTTACAATCAAACTCCAGACTACCACTTCAGCGTCAAATCTCCACCATTCCCCACCTGTACTTTATACTCCAATCAGATTAACTTGTATTTCTGGGAAATCATCATACTTTGTTATGTCTCTGTGTCTCTGTACAACTATTCTTCCTGCAATGCCCTCATTTTTCTTTTTTAGCTGGCTAAAACATTCTTGGAGACTCAGTTCCTATGCACTTTCCTCCCAAGAAGATATCCCTGACCTTCTGGCTAGGAACTAAGGCATCTTTTCTGTACTCCTAGAGCACACCCTAGATAATTCTATAATAGTACTTATCACCCTGCATTCTAATTATCCTTTTACCTGCTCATCCCACACAACTGTGAATTACTTGAGCTCTGTGTCTTTCCTCTCTGTATCTTTGGCATAGTTTATGGCATGTTGCTAACTAACTCTCAATATATGTTTTAATGACCAGACAAATGAAGAACTCATAAGTACTAGTAAATGATAATTACTGTTATAAATAGTACAATAAGATAGAGAATGGCTTCAAGAGCTTCTGCAACTAAAATACTGCTTTACCGAAGCAGATTTGACATTGAACAGTGATATTTTCAGGGGATTCTGTTAAGCTGTTTGTCTCATATGCCCTCAAAAAAAAAAAAAGTACTTCTATTTCTTCTCTCATGAGCATCTCAAATTCCCATTTTCTTTTCTTTCTATTTTCAGTAATAAACCATGAGATTACCAATGTATTGCTTATCCTTATGTATAGAGAATCACCCTAAATCAAAATCTTTTTAGACAAGACTGTTGAATATAATGTGATTTCAATTGTTCCTGATGTAAATCTGAAGTTTCTTTGTTTTTGTTCTCAGCTGCCCTTTGCTGATTCTAATCAAACTGTTTTTTTCTCGTCAGTGGTTCTTCCCTTCTTTTCCCATCTTCTTCCTATTTGATTCTAATGATCTACCTCAAATCAGACCACCTTTCTCCTGTTATGCATACAATCTAATCTAATTACCTAGGTCACCTGTGATAATCACATAATTTACATGGGCTTTTTTTGTTTGATTTGGTTTGGTTTTTAAGGTTACTATTCATGTTTTCATTTCACTGAAAGTTGCAATTCATGCTAAACTGCTTCCTTGTCTATCTCTGAGTTTTTGACATTTGGAGGACTGAAGGTCATTCAGACAGTTATCAATATGTACTGAGGGTTTATATGTTCCAAGCACACTGAAGTACTGGGGATACAAAACTAAGTAAGGCGGACACAGCCCCTGCCTTGGTGCTTGCACTCCAGAAAAGAAGTCAGACAATAAATTAACAAGTATAAATAATTTAATCATGACTGTGCTAAATTCTGCATAGCAATATAGGGTGCTAGTGTTAATACTGTGTGCCGAGCATCTAACACTTACTCTTAGAAGCTAAAATTTTACAGTCAGTAGTTTGTGGGCTTGTGACCTGTTTTCAAAACTGCAGAAACAATGCCAGCACCTTATTCAAATCATTTCTCATCAGCAAGAATCAAACAATGGCACACGACATATGTATGCCATATGTTAGAATGGGGGCCAAGTTTTCTTATTTTGTAATCTTTAAAAGACGCGAATCGGCTTATTACAAATAAACGCTTCCATAAAGCAATGTTTAATCACAAGAAGTCCGTAGTACTTTCTGATCACACCTACTTTCACATGCTGTTGGCTTCTCAAGAAGCCAGCAAAAATCCCTTTCAGTTCTGGAGATGGCCCAATTTTTTGAAAGAGCTAGCAGGGGATTCCTCCTCCATGTCAGGCAAGAAGCTCGTTGCTTTCAAATCAACGACCCGACGTAATGCTCTCAACAACCCCAAGAGAAAGTTAGGACTGTCCCTATTATTTTATGAGCGTGACGTCATGACGTCGGATTCTCGGGACCAACCTCCTAAAAAGAGCGAGTGCACCCACACTCTTAAGCCTCTTACCCCTGCTTTGTTTTTCTTCAGAGCACCTGCGCCACAGATGTTTTACTGTTACTCCACGGTCTCTCCCTTCCTCCCAGACCCCGCGAATTTAAGCATCTGGAGCGCAGGCGTTCCTATAACAGTATCCGGCGCAGTGTCAGAGTCAACGAACATACGTGGAAGGAGTGAAATATAAGTAGGGAGAGTTCAAAAGGTTCTGCGGCCACGCTACAGCGAATGAAAATGACTTTTCCAGTCGCAGCTGGACGCCCCCCAAAAGGACGTCTGCTCACCCTCGCATAGCGCCCCTCCCAGCAGACGAAAACCAGCCAGGATGGGAAGGGGACGTAAAGGCTCCTTCAGATCCCAGCTGAGGGTCATTTTCCAGATCAGCCTGGCCGTACCTGGTACTGGGAGAGGGAGGACTCCTCACCGGCGCCGCTGGGGTCCCGAAGGCGCACGACTAAGAAGGAGCTGCCTTCTCCGTCCCATAAGAAGAGCTCTCCGCCGAGGCCCAAGACCAGGTTTCTCGTCAGCAAGTGCGGCGGCAGGGGCGGCGGCGAAGGCAAAGAAGCCGGCTTCTCGGCTGCGGCTGGGCTCTGGTTTTTCCGTCCTTCCCGGAGCCGCAAGAACACGGCATGGTCAGGGAGCCAGGCCTGCCACAGCTCACCGTCTCCCGCGGCTCCTTCGGCGGCCGCCATCTTGGCCCAACAGCTCTCGTCAGCCCAGTTGCTCAGCCCGCCGCTGAGGGCAGCCAATTCGCTTCCAGCCGTCCACTGCTTCGGCCAGTCATCGAGCAGGGAGCCCGGAAGCCCGAGCAGGGCTAGGGGAGGGGCGGGGCGAAGGTGAGGCCAGCCCATCAGGTAGCGTCATTGCCAAAGCAAAGCCAATCACCAGTCAAGCCTATTCTGAAGCCAAAGGGGGCGGGACGAGAAGTTCAACATGCCAGTGCCTGCTTAGAGAAAGCTTTGGGGTTGCGGGAAGTCTAGTAGCTGGGGGTAAAGCGCCTGAGACCTGTGTATCAAATTGCTTATTGGACACCTCCACCTGGATAAACCTAAACATCTAAAACCTTCCCTCAAGACTTACCTCCCTCAATCCAGGTTGGGCAGACCTCACAAATGTCACTTCTTTTTGTTTGTTTGTTTTTTGCGGTGCGCGGGCCTCTCACTGTTGTGGCCTCTCCTGTTGTGGAGCACAGGCTCCGGACGCGCAGGCTCAGCGGCCATGGCTCACGCGCCCAGCCGCTCCGCGGCATGTGGGATCCTCCCAGACCGGGGCACGAACCCGTGTCCCCTGCATCGGCAGGCGGACTCTCAACCACTGCGCCACCAGGGAAGCCTATAAATGTCACTTCTTTAGTCACCCATTCTGGGATTGCCCAAGCCTGTCTCCGAGTGGGGCCGGCCGGAAGGACAACGCTTCCCAGAATTCCCTACGATCTGGTGCGACCAGCACCCAGGAACTGCAACTCCCAGGATTCTGCACGCGCCCCGGCGGCGGGGCCTTCTGGCGCCGACTCACGCGAAAAGGAGATGGCAGAGGGCTCAGGGTCTCGGCATCGCTCGCTGTATAAACTGGTGGGCTCGCCGCCTTGGAAAGAGGCTTTCAGGCAGGTGAGTGTGGGGTTTGGAAAGCCTTGGCCGGGCTGTCGTCACTCCCCTAGTCCGTCCCGGCAACCGCTCTCCTCCGTGCTTTTCTCTCAGCCCCGCCGGGTGAAGCAGGTGTCCGTGGAAGTGGACCTGGAACCCGAGCCTCTCGCCTGTAGGTCCGGGCCTCGGGCACCGCCCGGCCACTTCCTGGAGTTTCTGTTCCTCTGGGTGTGGCATTGCCCGGGCCGGGCCGGGCCCAGGAAGCCTTCCTTTTGGACTCGGGTTTGCTTTCCGTGTGACGTGTGATCGCGACCGCACCGCTACATCTCTACGGTGGCACCACCATCACCCGCTGATGTCGGGTTGGTGGACACCAGAGAGGCACCTTGTACACTCACCGCAAGCGAGAGAGACGTTATGTCTATTCCACAGAGGAATAGAATAATTAGACATTATTTCTAATCCCGGAAATTATTTCTCTTCCTATTCCAAACTATTTCTTCTGAGCCTCCGTCACTAAGTCTTAGCAGGGTTGTAGCCTACGGTCAGTTCTGACCTATCCTGAGCTCAGTCTGGTTCCTGTAAGTACTATAGCCTGTCTTTCCAGTAATCTCTGAAGTAGTGGATATATCCCAGGAAAATAATCTGATGCTAGAAATGACTGTCGACAGCACGATTTCTCAATCCTGGTTCTTGACATTTTGAAGACGATAGTTCTTTGTTGTGGGGTGCTGTTCTAGGATTGTAGAATGTTTAGCAGCCTCCCTGGCCTCTACTTACTAGATGTCAATAATCCTACAGCTAGAGCTGTGACAACCAAAAATGTCTCCAGTCATTGCCACATGTCCCCTAGGGGACAAGATTGCCTGAAGTTGAGAAACATCGTACAGGATGGCGGCTACCAGCATCATATCGAGAGTAGCAAGAATTAGGAAGTGGGACTTCCTGGTGGCGCAGTGGTTAAGAATCCGCCTGCCACTGCAGGGGACATGGGTTCAAGCCCTGGTCCTGGAAGATCCCACATGCCACAGAGCAGCTAAGCCCGTGGACCACAACTACTGAGCACACGTGCCACAACTACTGAAGCCCATGTGCCTAGAGCCCATGCTCTGCAACAAGAGAAGCCACCACAATGGGAAGCCCATGCACCGCAACGAAGAGTAGCCCCCGCTCACCACAACTAGAGAAAGCCAGTGTGCAACAATGAAGACCCAATGCAGCCAAAAATAAATAAATTAAATAAATAAATTTATTTAAAAACAAAACACAAAAAAAAGAATTAGGAAGCAACCTAAGTGTCCTGTTAGCACAGTGGATGCTGCGCTATTATCACCCAACCATTAAGCAAGCTAGCATTAAAGATAGACTATGAAATATGTCAATCTGGAAATACGTGACCCAAGCATTGTAATTTCACCCATCTACACGTGGATAAGGGCTGGAGAGGAAGGTGCCAAAATGACAATAGTTGGGATTAGAGTTGAAATTTTGTGTCTATAAAATTCCTTTAATGTTTTAACAACTAATCTAAGAGGTGTTTTTTGTTTGTTTGTTTTTGATGGAATTGCCTTTTCTGCCCCCTCACCTCTTTCTCCTTCTTCCAAGGGATGCCTGGAGAGAATGAGAAACAGCCGGGACAGGCTCCTAAACAAATATCGCCAGGCTGGAGGCAATATGTCAGGAGGAGCTCAGAACACCTTTCTAGTGCAGGAGGTGATGGAAGAAGAGTGGAATGCTTTGCAGTCGGCGGAGAGCCGGCCAGAGGCCTTGGCTCAGGTCAGGCTGGGATATGTGTTTTTAGCACCAAGGATGCCAGTGTCCTCTCTCTGCCTATTTCCCCAAGTCCTCTAAACCCATCCACCCTCCAGCCCCCAATCAGGATTCTAACGGCCTTTCACCCAGGTTCTTCTACCTTTAACGTTAGACTCTTCTAGATTAATTAATGGTTCATAAATACCAGGTTGTCGACCTGCTGCATCATTGCATCATAATCACTTCTGAAACTGAAAAGAAAGAAATTTCACTCATTGGCTGCCCCCCTGGAGCTTTTGATTCAGTAGGCCTGAGCCAGGAATCTCCCTTTTTAAAAAGGTCTCCAGGAACTTTCTTGTTCTAATCTCAGGCAGGGTTAGGAACTGGGTGTGGATAGGAGACCATTTACCATGTATCAGGAAGCGCACTGTATTGGAAGTCAGTAGTTCTGGAATTCTGATCCTGGTTTTGCTGTTGACTCTTAACTCTGCCTCTTTGAGCTTCGGTTTTCCCATTTGTAAGATGAAGAAGATAATGTTGTCGGTATTGTGAGGACAGTATAAGAAACATGTGGGAAACTGCTCTGAGAACATCAAGGCTCTCTGTAATAAAGGGGCGTTATTTGGTGCCTTCTACGTGTCCTACATTGTGCCAAATGTCTGAGTTACATAATCACAATGAGTGCGCACAATAACCCTCTCAGGTGGGTTTTATTCCCACTTTACAGAGGCCTGAAATGAGGTTGACAGAGGTTAGGAAGTTTCTAATGGTCACAGAGCTTTAGCAGAGCCATATACTTAGCTGCTACCCTATACTGTCTCCCCCAGATGTGGTACCATTATTTTGTCACTGGCTGGTTTCATCATCTGTTGGTGCCCTTCTCAGCATGGCCACATTACCGCATTGTCGGCACATTCTACAGAAGGACTGGGTTGATTTCCTCAGTTAAATCTGTGTTCTTCAAGCCAGCCTCCAAGTGTGAATCATTGTGGGTCTTGCCAGCTGATCATAACTTCAAACCTCTGCTGACCCTACTTTCTCTTGCAGTTGGAGGAGCCGCTGGACCTGGCCGTGCTGGAGGAAATCCAACAGGAGCTGATTGATCAAGGTGAAGTCTAAGAATAGTTCTTCCTGCCTATATCTCTAGCTGCTCTAATGCTGATGCTTTTTTCTGAACAGAATGTTTTTAACTCATTATTTCCATCTTCAGTCGAGTGTCTAGAAGTCTCTGTTTTTCCTCTAAGGTCTTGGCTGTCTGTCTTCCCAATAATAATAGTCATTGTTTCCAGGCCTTGTGCTCAGACCTCTCCTTCCATGCTATGGTTCTCTCCTTATGATGCCCCTACCAGGTAGCGTGAGACAGAAGAGAGTGGTGTCTAACACAGGTTGCACAGCTGGTGGTGGAGTTGGGAAGTAAAGTCAGTGTTGTGAATCCAGTTCCCGTGTCTATTCTATGCGACAGTACCTCTCTGTTAATAGATTAGTAGTAATCCTGTCACCTTACAGGATAGTGCACGATCAGATCTCTCGCGCTACCTAATTTAAGTGCCTTCTCTTGTATCTTTTCTTTACTGACTCCCCAGGGTCTTGTGAGCGTCCCCTTCCTGCGGAATCATAGCACCACAGAGTGCATAAGTTAGCACCTTGTATAATTAAGTCATTTATCTCACATAGCCCTATCTTGATTAGGCTTAGTTTTTAATCATCTGTTAGAGATAACAGACTTGACTCTGTAAAACTACAAAACTATTTGTAGGCTTAAATAATATGTGTAGACTTCGAGCAGTGCCTGGCATATAGGAAGTTTTCAATACACAATAGCTATTATCTTGAGGACGCAAGAGCATGAACTCTTGGCCTAGACTGCTAAGATTCACTTCTCAGCTTTACCACTTTAACTTGTGTGGCGCCGGGCAAAGCACTTAATCTCCCTGTGCCTGTTTCTTCATCTTTAAAATAAGGAAGTAGTAGTGAAGAAGTTAATATATATAAAGAACTTAAAACAGCATTTGACACATAGTGCTATGCAAACGTTAGTTATTATGATTGGTGTGTTGACTCCAGTTAGACTGTATATTCCTTGATTTTAATTTTTTTCTTTTTGATTGATTTTCTCTTTACCCTCGCCTGCAAAACCTATCTTAGTGGTGAAACACAGGACTCACTAAATATTTCTCTTGGGGTATATTTAATTTAAAAACCTGCACTGATAAGAATTTGCTGTGTTCTGCCATACTCAGTCCTAAGGAACCCTCTAGAATAGAGGTTGGCAAACTTTCTGTGAGGGGCCAGATAGTAAACATTCAGGCTATTGCAGCTACTTGGTTCTGCTGTTGTAGTGTGAAAACAGCTATAGCCCACACATAAACCAAATGAGCGTGGCTGTTCCATTACAACTTTACTTAAAAAATGGAAGGTGGGGGACTTCCCTGGCGGTCCAGTGGTTAAGACGCCACGCTTCCACTGCAGGGGCACGGGTTCAATCCCTGGTCGGGAAACTAAGATCCTGCATGCTCTGTGACATGGCCAAAATTGTTTTAAAAATTAAAAACGTTAGGTGGGCTGGAATGGCCTGTGGGCTGTGGTTTGCTGACCCCTGCTCCGAAGCCTAGATGGTGAGCTCATCAAGAGCAGGGACCAGCCTTCTTCATCTTTGTACCCCAGGCCTACTAAGTACTAGGGCTTGTTGCATGTTTGCTACACACGTTCTGAACAACACAGAGCCTGAGTCTGTGGACACTGGCGAACATCTCACCTTAGACTCAGCCAGGTGGGCCTGGCGTCCGAAGCCGTCAGCGTCCGCGTTCTCCAGCCGCCCCTGGGACCCTGCCACTCTTCATCTCTGCCACTGTGGCCTCTGGAGATGGGTGTGAAAGTTGTCTCTTTGTCTCTTAGCCTCATCACTTCACAAGGAGAGGACAGACAGGAGGGGAAAGATCCAACAAGATGAAGCCTGAGCAGTAAATATCTAGTGATTGGTAGTGTGATTTTGCCCGCATTTTTCTCTTGTGTGGATGGTGCCTTTGAAAGTGAAGCTTAGCACTCAGGACAGGGCGACCCAGGTGACGTGCGGTGAAACACGCCAGCTGTCCTTTGCCTTGCAGAACAGTCCATCATCAGTGAGTACGAGAAGAGCTTGCAGTTTGATGAAAAGTGTTTCAGCGTCATGCTGGCTGAGTGGGAAGCAAACTCCCTCATCTGTCCTGTGTGTGCAAAGTAAGAGTTTTCACAACCTTTTCAGCATTATTTGTTCCCACCCCACACTCCAAGGTGAGTGGAATTTCCCCCCAAATCTATTATCTGGGAAGGTTGGGGGATCCAGGTCTGCTGGCCATAATGCTCTGGGATCCCAATTCTGCTTCCAGGTACAATCTGAGAATAGCAAGCGGTGTGGTCATGTGTCAGTGTGGCCTGTACATCCCATCTCATGTGAGTGTTCCTCACACAGATCGTGTCACCTCTGCACACACCTCTTCCCAACTTCATGTTCAGTTCACACTGATAGCTTGCAGTCATCCATGGTGAGAATACAGACAGCATATCTGTGAGGTACTTATTAATGTACCGCTGCTTAAGAGCTTTATAGAAAGCCCAGTTTAGAACTGGAAACACTTGTATCTGATTTACATAAAAATTTTCCATATATGAAGACACAGCTGTATTCAGAATTTTAAGTGTCAGTGGTCTTAAAATATAGGAGCCCTCTTATCTGACATGATGTGGCTAAAAGTCTGCCAGTTCGTTGAAGTGGTAAGTTATACAAATGAAACATTTTACAGGAAGTTTTAAACTTACACTTATTTGCCAGTCCTTGAGCGAGGCTCTGCTGATTGGAGAGCTGAGGTTTTTTTTTGTTTTTTATAAACTGCTCTTAAAGCGCATAGTCTAGCATTTCCTGTTTTGTTTCTGTAAGTGCATCAAGAAGCTGAGTGCACTTCAGGATTTTTCCTCCCCATCTTTTACCTAATTCAACAACTTTTTTTTTAGGGACTCATCTTTTTTACTGTTCCTTCAATATTCCACTTATCACAAAAACATAACTTTGTTTCATTCTCTTATTTCATTGGTTTACATAGTAGATAATTAAGTCAGTCAGTTACAATAGCAAGTTCAGTTAGCACAGAGGTAGGACCAAGCAGCACTGGCTCTTGGTAAGGATACACTTGGCTGGTAGAAGCAGAAACACAGGGAGGCTGGGAAGCCTCCCAGCCCTGGACGTTCCTGGTGCGGTGAGCATCAGTGTTCAGGGCAGGAGTGGAGAGCGCTGGTCCATCTGGAGAGGCGGTCAGATGGACGTTATTTAAGAGATCCTCTCAGCATGATCGTGAGCGTTTCTAAAGGTCCGAGGAATCAGGCCATCACAGCAAGCCAGTTACAGGATGGTGTGAGGAATCGGGATTTTCAGCCTGTTGACTATGAGACGACTGAGGTTAGCTTGTAGTTTAACTTTTCTGTTTTTCAGTCTCCAGGGGTGACAGAGCAAAAGTTTCGCGCCTGTTTAGAAGACAGCGTGAATGAGCACAGTGCATGTTGTCCCCACACGCCGACATTTTCCGTCACTGAAGGAACAGAGGAAAAGCCCAGTCTTCTCATGAGCTGTCTGGTACGCCTCCCACAGGACCCAGTGGTAAAAGCGGGTCGGTGGTTGGTTTTATTCCCACCCTGGTAGAAATAGCTTACAAAGAGGTAAATGTTTAAAAATGCAGTTTATTCTCTGAGGAACTTTACTTGCATAGAAAAGTGAAGTCACTTCAGTTAAAAAGGCCAGTCATTCCCCGAAAGGGGAGGGACAGAGGCAGCCCAGCTCGTGGAAGGAACAGCATAAATGTCATCACTGGTTGCAACTTTTAACCACATATTGAGATTGCTTTTGTAACTGGAATATAATTTAAGCTAACTTTTTTCTATTTAAATTCAGGCTTGTGATACTTGGGCTGTGATCCTCTAGAGCCAACCCTGATGCACACGATCTACTGCGTTGGAAACAAGTTCTGTCTTGAGAAGGGGCCTTGTAAATACAAATCTTTCATTTATAACTTATTTTGTATTAAAACGTTTCAAAGTTTTCTCTGCTTTGTGTTTCGTAATGCAGGTTGAAAGGGAAGGAGTAGAAATAGAAAAGACCAATCACCTTGGAGATTTTATTGTCCATCATTTTGTTATACAAAAATCTAGAAATAACAGGTTTGTAGAGAATAAATGGTAAATCAGTGGCAACAGAAATAAGTTAATATTGAATTACTTTCCATGATATCGGGATGAAAACCATTTCAAAGCACGTGGGTCTGGCTTCAGAGGAGGTGCTGCTCACTGGCCAAAGCCTGCCGTAAAATTAAGGTGTTTGGCAGCTCGTCTTCTCTATTGGCTTTTGACAAAACCTTTGAGGTCTTCGAGAAAAGTAATGTACTCCTGGTGCTCCAAGGCTGTGCTGAGCTCTACCAACTCATCAGCGAAAGTGTTGTCCACCCCTCGGTCCGCAAGGAAATCCATTAGGTGGTCGTATAAGCCCTAAAAGGAGAAACATTGGTTAAAAAAAAAAAAAAGAAGGCAGCACCCAAGACACTTATTAAGATGCTTCTTTGTGTGGCTTTGGACTAGACCCTCCCCTGCAAGGCCCAAGGGCACCATCACCTTATCGAGCACTCACCCAGTCCAGGGAATCTGTGCTGAGCGTGTAATTCGTGTCCTTCCAGTCAGAATCGCCAGTGGACTGAAAGCTCACTTCCTTGATGGAGAAAATGTCACTCTGGTCCTCCTCTTCTTGTCCAATCTGACAAGAGACAATATTTCGGGAAAACTGAAAGGTTTCCCAGGACAAGCCAGACTCGTGCAAAGAAAAGGGACTATTTATAGCTTGAAACTCAGATTTTAACCTTGCTCCCTCACCACCCCCACCCCAGTCTTCCCAGTTTTGCTGGTCTAAGCTAGAAAATGTTAGTATCAGCTAAATGGGACCAGGAAGGTCCCCGGAGGCCCTCCTCGTCCCCAGGGCTGCCAGCACTCCACTCTACATACCTCATCTTCTGGAAAGTGACAGTCCAGCACAAGGGCCTTGTTGCTACCATCCTTTACAACTTCAACCACAAAATTGGGAGTGGACGTCAATTCAGGCTGGGGAAACAAGAACGAGTCAGTAAATGTCTCTGTTGGCAGGGGTCTGGACCGAAGGTCTCAGTTCAGGGGGTCTGATGGCCACTGCTACGCTATGGTGTTCCCAAATAAGGAGCCTAGGATCTTTTAACACAGAGTATTAAAGCCATGTACCAGCTTGTTCAGACAGACTGGGCTGAACCCACCCTGTGGATCCTTTCTAGAGTTGTAGACTATGTTTTGGGTGGCAGAGTATCATATATTTAGTACAGCATTTCACTTCTATTAGCCACGCTACTTGTTTAAAGAACATACAAGGTTACATATTAGAACCTAATACGTACTAGGTTCTAACCTAATTCTACAAGGTTAGAATCAGGAACTCTGAACTCCAGCCCCAGCGAGAGTGGCCTTTTTCTACATCCATACACTACAAAGCTGGCCTAAAGTGCCAAAATCCCTTCCCAGCTGCTTCGGGATCTGCCCCTATTACAGCCCAGGACCGGAGGCTGGTGCCTCTGCCTAAAGCACAGCAACCCCCCCTTTGAGGGTGAGCCAGCCAGTGTGTGTGTTGGGGGCGGGGCAGTCCTAGTGCTGGGCCAGCGCTCCAGGGAGCCGAGCTGGGTCGTGAGACAATACCATGCCAACCCAGCCAGAAAGCCTGGGGACCCTGTGGCCCTCACACTGGCTGGTTTCTAGGCTGGGCACACTGCTTCCTAAAATGTCTGAAGACTGAGCACCATCCAGGTCCAAGCAAGAAGGGCAGCACCTTAAGGCGAAGTCTCTGACGCCCCTGCCTGGGACGTGTGAGAGCACTCCTCACTTGGAAACACTCCAAATGATAATTTCCCTCCTGATCATGGGAAGGGTTAAGACAGTTTCAACTCCTCTCTATTAAGTGAACACAGGGCAAATTATAAAGCCTAAGCCTAAAGGTAACAATTTACTTCGCCCCTGGGGAAGAAAAGGGGCCACACAGTTCTGGGGCTCTACAAGAAAAGGCCCAAGGATGGCTGTCCTTTGCCTTCTCTCCTAGTGCTAAGAGAATTTAAACAAAACAAAAACCAATGCTCCTTCTGCAAGCCCCCAGAACAGCCCGTGGGAAGGCGGCGGCACAGGCTGGTCACAGTGTTACAGACTTGCCTCCTGTTCTTCAACCTTCTGCCCTTCAGAGGGCCCCTCCTCCCCATCATATGCGGGTGGGATGCTGTTGTTAATGTTGAAAGTGACGGTGACCCTAGAAAGGCAAGAGAAAACACAACAGAGGATGTCCTCTTAACTGAGGAGTAGATACTGAGGCTTGCTACAGTTAAAAATGCTGCTGAAACAATGCACCTCTGATCTGCAGAACTTCCAAAATGCGGGTGCCTGCATCCCACCCACAGATAGATTCAGCAGGTCTGAAGTGGGCCTACTATGTGTTGGCTGCTGGAAGTCAATTAGGCACTTGTTCCTCAGCCAAATACAGTCATGTGTGGGCTCCTGTCACCAGGTCGGCATCCAGGGCTCACTGCCAACCTGTGTCCACTGGCCACAGCCAACTGACACTGCCACCCTCGTCTTTCCAGGGCACCTTCCAGTGCTGAGCAGCTGAGAAGCTGGGGGCAGGGGGCAGAAGCCTTCTTTAAAAGCTTTTCTCCATTAGAAGAAAATTTGCCCGAGAGGAAGGGAAGAAGGAGCGCTGGAGGGCTGTGGCATCAGCTGAGGATGGAGAGCAGCCCCGGCCCCACGGAGGGGGGCCTCACAAAGAGCAACACTTGCTGGGGAGCTCCCTGGTGGTCCGGTGGTTAGGACTCAGCGCTTTCCCTGCCATGGCCTGGGTTCAATCCCTGGATGGGGAACTAGGATCCTGCAAGACACAGGGCACTGCCAAAAAAATAAAAGAACATGCTGCAGGACAGGCTCATTCCTCAGAGCAGTTGTGGGAAGTTTTATAATCACAAAGCAGGCCACAAACACCAACTAATGACGATCTTCAGTTGCAAGAACCTTCACCTGACGTATCACGTTCCAAAATTTGAATCTAAAGTTGAGAGATCTGGAACGAGCACTGCTGGGTTGCAGACAACAGTGCACTGTAGCCACTCCCCTCTGGAGCTGTGCTAACTGGCTGCCTTGCCGGTTTGAGGTTTGAGGTTCAGCCACAAAATCTGTCTAATCTGCAACAGTGCGGGCCAAGCTGACGCCTGGGCACAGAAATGCAGTTATGTTCATTAGCACGTTACTTATAATGGCCCCAAACTGCCTACGACTTACCCGAGGAAAGTGGTTTAGGTCACGTTACAGAATACATGATTGACCTATGAAGGGAAAAACACTACACCACCAAAACAAAACAAAAAACCCAGAACCCTACTTCACAGCATATACAAAAATTCACTCAGAGTAGATCACAAACAGCTTACGCAGGTCGAAGTCTTCCCATCTTTCTCATGGTGACCCTTACTACACGGCAACCCCACCCTTATCTTGCTTTCTCAACTATAAACAGAGTAGGAGCTTTGTTTTCCTCAGCCAGAGCCTGTAGTATAGTAAGTCAGCGTTGCAAATCTGAGATTCTGTCGGTGCTGTCAGAATTTCTGAATTTGCGTGCATAGATTTAGGCAAGGCATAGCCTCCCTCACCAGCAAGGGTTTAGTGACTGACGCCTCTACTGGTCCAGTAGGCTCCCAGCGACTTGGCTTCGGTGCTACTTGCTTACCATCTCCGTATTAACTACCACAGCACGTAAGTGTGCAGTGAATGAACGACCTGGAGCTTACGAAATTATCCAAATGAATCCTACAATCTCTCGGAAACCACATGTCTGTTAAGTACCTACCTTAACTAAAGGCTGTTGTGGATAAGTCAGGGCAGGTCCTGCAGGGTCATGGATTTGGTTCCCTGGAGTCCATAGGCCCCTGGTACTTACCTTTCTCCAGCAACTTTCTGCACTAATTTGGCTTCTGTCCCATTCACTTCCAGCGCCCAACCTCCAGACATCTTGGGAAGAGACTTATACTTCTGTATCTTCTTTTCCTCCTTAATCTCATCATTGAGGAATTCAACAAAAGCTTTGTCCCCTACAATGGAAATAAGTTACAGAAACAGCCAATCAGTCTAAAACGGAAAATGACCCAGGTTACTACAACCAGAGACCTGTATTTGGGCTGTTTCTAATACTTCTGCTATTAACGGTGGCTCTGGGAACTTAACCCAACTCATATCCATTAAGCCTCAGTTTCCTCATCTGTAAAAATGCCGTAAGCTATCAGTGGGAAGCTGAGCTCGCATTCTGGTAAAGTGATTCCCAACAATGAACTCCTTACCACGTTTCAAAATAAAGTAAGAAAAATTCGCCATTACTCTCTTTCACTTGCCAACAGACAACACCACACTACTCCCAACCGCGACCTTGGGCTTTCGCAAAGTTCCATTTTCGAGAGACTGAGAATAGAGTCGGCCTCCAGGGCTTCTTTACAGCATCTCTCCCCGCAGAGTAAAACAGAGGTGGGGGAAGACGGGAAACGCGATCACGCGTGGGTTTAACCCGCTGGTCACCGATCAGTGGGAGAATGTTCTGGACTTCAGGGGCGGTTCCGGGCTGTCCACGCGTGGTCTACACCTCCTCGTCCCGGATTCCCCACCCCACCCAGGCCCTGGCCCCTCACGCCCTCGGCCCACGTGCACGAGTCTTACCTTCGGTGTGCAGTCCGCCGCAGCCGCAGCCGCAGCCGCAGGGCCCCCAAGGCCGCAGGAGACCGGGCAACTGCACCGACCCCGCGCGCACGCTCAGCAGCCCAAAGGGCCGGGCGCACGGCCTAGACGCGGGCTGCAGCAGCGGCAGGGAGGTCGCGGCGGCGCGGATGCCAGCGACAGCGGTGCCCAGGACGCGGGGCACGCAGCGCAGCAGCGGCAGCATTTCTGCAGCGGAGGCAGAGGCGGCGGCGGACACGTGCGGCTACGAAAGACGACTCTCAGCAAGAGCGACAACTCTTCGCCACTGCGCCCTCTAGATCGAGGGCCACCGCCGGAAGTCCCGCCCCCTCCCCGGGAAGTGCTTCCGCGCCGCCGCTTTGCAGACCGAAGGCACAGCGGGCGGGAATGCGCCCTCTGCTGGTGGCCTCCGGTGTGGCCTCCCGGGGAGGCCTGGAATCCGATTCCTGAACTTCTTTAGCTGAGTCGGCTTGAGTCTGGCGTCCCAGGCTTGCTGTTTAATTGGCCAAAATCCGTTCTCTCCAGTGGCTGCTTACACTCTCCAAATTTCCATCTCCTGTTCTCAAGCACGGCCAGGCTTTCTATGACTTCGTGGAATGCACTCTTGCCACCACCAACTCCCAAAGACCAGCCTCCGGGATCACCTCCCATAAGAGGCCTTCCTGGAACTTCCTCCTCTCTTCCCTGAAAAACAGACTCATGCCTGTGCGACCCGGTCCCTGTGCTTCATTCTTTTCTCAGCAGAAACCTCCTGGCACTGCTGGCTTACCTGGCAGCTGACCCTCACCCCCACCAGACCCGGAGCTCCTAAAGGCAAGAGCCCTGGTTAATTCCTGCAACCCTCCAACCTTACACCCAGGTTCTGATGGGATATTATTTTTCTGGGAGCAAGAAGCCACAGCTTACATTAAATTTAGGTTAAGAACTAATGTTCCTACCTTACCAGGACACATACGATATATAAGGTAGCAAGAAAGTAAGTCTTCCCAAATCAAGTGGCAAAGATATACTTAATATATTCTAAACAGCATTCTGTGAATAAGGGAAAGGAGACCCAAGAAAGAAGCCTCACACATGTACAAGATTCACTTTTAATGGACTTGATAGTCATGTGCAAATCTGAGCATTATATACAAGAGCCAGTGCTTCTTTAGAGCTATCTCTGTTTGAACAAGAACAGACTCTCAAAATACAACATAAACCTGAACCAACTAGATTTTTTTTTGCTGCAAGTTATAATATTCTGATCAAATAAAATATAATAAAATTCTTGCTTCCCCACAGGTGCAGTGTTTCCTTCTATGCACAAGGAATGGTATCTTAGATGCCTGGCCACAGTTCTAAGCATTTCTTCACAGCTGGATTAAATGGATTTATGCATCACAGTACATAATCCGTCTTATCCACAGAGCAAAAACCTGTCTCCATTCTGGCATCTCTTTACCAAAGGTTTTTACCAAGAACTGGGTGTTGGCAGTTCTTAGATCTATGCTGCTCTGGGGGTTTCACACTCCATGATTACTAGAAGCAGAAGACAAACATCTGAGGCATGTGATCTGCTTGGAGTGCATCTATTTACATGAAGCTGCTCAAGGGAGCTAGTGATTCACCTAGATATGGATTTCACAGGTTGGAAAAAAGGTGGCACACCACTGGAGATGGTAGGATTGAAAAGAGTAGCTCAAGGTTAGATTGCAACATCACTGTGAAACATTTAACTTCCTTAAGAAAGTTTGAAGTGTACTTATCTATCCCCTGCAGCTCAATGTAAACAACCATGTATTTCTTTGTAGTAATACGGAGAGTCAGACCGGCTTTTCCAATCTGATTTAATCCCTGAGCAGCTATGTTAAAAGTTAACTTTTTAAAAAGCCCAATAAAAAACTACTGTATGAAAATCTACCAGAATGTTAGTGACAAACATATTTCTGTACAGAAACATAGACGCGATTTACCCCTTAATTCCTGCCAGAAAAAATATACATTTCCTGAAACGGTTCAGGTACTTGAGCTGGACATAAAAGATTAAAAGCTAAATTTTCCTTGCCCCAGAGAATACCTCTATATAATTTGCTGAGGAACATAATAAATTACCCCACTCCCAATTTTTTACCAGCAGGATGAACGTTTTATTAAAAATACAATATTTTCTTTTACCAATACCTTTTGAACATTTTATTAAAAATTGTATTTTCTTTTACCAATACCTTTTGAACCCTAAACATCCTAGGCCTCTATTAAGTAAAGGAATAACCAAAATACTGCACATGTGTGTTCTGACCAATTAAGCACAATAAAAGGGCTAAATCTTGGCGTCTTCTAGGGCATAGCATTCTCTGGGGAAAGATTATTTGCTTTTGATAATTAAATAGCTAAGAAGGACTTTTGGTGTCTTTTCCCTCCTCAAAATATGAAAACAGGAAGAGACTGTGGAGACCCTCTAATCCCCTCTGACAAATATGGAAAATGAGGGCTAGAGACGGGCGAGTGGCAAAGCCAGGCTGTCCCCAGGTCCCTAAGAAGGAAAAAATGATCATAGGAAATAAATAAGATAAAAGAACATAAACACTAGATGAGGTGATGGATGAGCCAAAGCTGCCTGAGTTCTCACCTCCGCCCACTGCAGGGCCAGAGGAGAAATGCCGTAAGCTCAGCTCAGAGACGCACCTTAGGCTCAAGTGTTTACGGCCCCAAAGCACCTCCCTCCTGAAACCGAAGTTAATCTCTTGTGTTTTCTGTTATAAAGTCCGTATGCAGATAGAAGTTAAAATAGATCCAAGGTCAACAGCTCTGTGAGATCTGGTGGGCCCCTTTCTAGATGACCCCCCTCACTCTTGGGAACTCAGCGGGGTTTGTTGTACCTGCTTCACATCATGTAGAAAAGCAGTAACAGCAACCGAGCTCCACGGCTCACGATCCACGGCGTGTTTATCGTGGGCAGGCACAGCTCTGGGTACTTTCCTTCCATTTGCTCTAAGCCTCATGACCCCAACCCTGTAAGTATTATTATTATCACCTCCACTTGGCAGATAGGGAAACTCAGGCTCAGAAGTTAACTAAGTCACCCAAAGTCGCCCAGCAAGAACTGAAAGCATCATTTTGAAGTCTCCAAGGTCGCTGCATGTCTGTGTGGTTCAGTTTGAGGAGTTTAGACAAAGATGCTTTCAAGCTCCCAGAGGCCGGGCATAATCCGCCCGATACGACCGCGGCCTCTCTGGGTGCCAGCCTGAGAGTCCGCGGCGAGGCCAGCTGCGGCCCAGCTCCCGCCCCGGGCGGCTCAGTTCCTGGAGGCCCTCAGCTTCCTCCTGAAGAAGTCGGGGGCAGCCTCGTACAGCCACTCGGCGTCCACCACACAAAGGTCGCGCATGTAGCACTTGTTGGTGAAGAGCAGCTCCGTGTATACGACACAGGCCGGCTTGCAGTGGAAGAGGACGGACGAGGGGTGGATGGCCACGGGCTGGTGGGTGTCCGTGGTGGCATAGGACCCGTCGGGCTGCAGCTCGGCGGTGCTCATGAAGAGGCTGTGCGCCAGGCAGCGGCGGACGCTCTCTGTGTCCCCTCGCGATGACAGGATCGGCATGGACATCTGGTTCGGGAGGAAGCGAGACATGGAGAAGACCCCAGACGTGAGTACTGTGCCGCCAACCGTGGTGGATGGAGCCACGTGCCCCCAGCGCAGTCCAGGGTGCAGGGCCCATGGTGGAGGCTGACACCCGGGCGGCTGCCTGCAACACCTGAGATCAGTGCTGCTGGAGGAGCACCACTCTACTGTCAATAGAAAATGAGGGAACTCACGCAGCCAAGGGATGGTGTGGCAGGAGAGCTGTTCAAGTACAAGAAGGGTTCGAAAATGGTATAATGCAGAACACAGCACGCTACTATGAGAAGAAGTCACTCTAGTGCTAACAATGGGCCGCTGGCATCAGGCACAGGCCTGGGTAAGGGTGACAACTGTCCCCTAGGGATGTGCGGATGGTCCACGACGCAGGCTGTCTCAAAAGACGCCTTACACACGAAGACAGTCACCACAGAGTTGCTCACAGCAGCAAAAAGTAGACACTCTCTCAGTGCTCAACACAGGAGAATGCGAACACAGACAAGCCCACCTTTGAGGTAAAATGTGGCGTGTCATAGCCATTGAATATATAAACATTATGTCCTCTAAGAGGGACTATAAGCTCGTAGGAAACTTGTTGGTTGATGATTTGGCAATGTCTATGAAAATCTAAACTCCCCATCTAAAAGTTCATTCTATGTGTACCAGAGCACAGACATTTATGTAGGAAGATGATGATTACAGCACAACCTAAATCATCCATTAGGGGCTTGGCTAAATAAACTGTAGTGAATACAGTGAAATGCTATGAAGTCACTAAAAAGAACGAGATAGACATATGCAGGCACTGCAAGACAGCCTAGACACAAAGTATTCAAGAAGTACTCCAAGTGGAAAAAAGCAAATTGCAAAACAAAGTGTTATACATTTTGTTTTAAAAAGAAAATTTTATCATGGTGTATGACCCTTTTAATGTGTTGTTGGATTCTGTTTGTTAGTATTTTGTTCAGGATTTTTGCATCTATGTTCATCAGTGATATTGGATTATAATTTTCTTTTTTTGTGATATCTTTTTCTGGTTTTGGTATCAGGGTGATGGTGGCTTCGTAGAATGAATTTGGGAGTGTTTCTCCCTCTGCAATTTTTTGGAAGAGTTTGAGAAGGATTGGTGTTAGCTCGTCTCTAAATGTTCGATAGAATTCACCTGTGAAGCCATCTGGTCCTGAACTTTTGTTTGTTGGAAGAGTTTTAATTACAGTTTCAATTGGCATATAGTAATCCTTTGCATTTCTGTGGTGTCAGTTGTGGTATCTCCTTATTCATTTCTAATTTTATTGATTTGTGTCCTCTCCCTTTTTTTCGTGATGAATCTGGTTAAGGGTTTAATCAATTTTGTTTATCTACTCAAAGAACCAGCTTTTAGTTTTATTGATCTTTGCTACTGTTTTCTTCATTTTTTTTCTTTGCGGTACGCGGGCCTCTCACTGTTGTGGCCTCTCCCATTGCAGAGCACAGGCTCTGGACGCGCAGGCTCAGCAGCCATGGCTCACGGGCCCAGCCGCTCCGCAGTATGTGGGATCTTCCCAGACTGGGGCACGAACCCGTGTCCCCTGCATCGGCAGGCGAACTCTCAACCACTGCACCACCAGGGAAGCCCTGTTTTCTTCATTTTTATTTCATTTACTTCCCCTCTGATTGTAATGATTTCTTTCCTTCTACTGACTTCGGGTTTTCTTTGTTCTCCTTTCTCTAGTCGTTTTAAG